ATTACGTCTATTAGATTGTTTCGAAATGTATCACTCTATGCAGAATGATTAACCTGTTAACTGTGGAATTTAATTTCAGACATCTCAGATAATACTCGCAATGAAATAAAATAATGAAGCTTATACTCGTCTAACTATACTTGTCTAAATGCATCTATAATATGTTGCAACGAAAAGCTAAAGCGAAACGAACAAGAATTACACGTGTATCTGAAAAATAAATAATTCATCGCTGAAAGAATTAGTATGATTTTAATTTTAAGATGACGCGTGTACTGGTCAAACGCAGTTAACTGGTTAACAATCAGAATTAGTGTACCTATCAGCGTAAAATGGGTGAAAACAGAATTCATCGCAGGAGACTTCGCCAAATTTCTGAATTTCACGTTTTATTCTCGTTTCTCGCGTAGAGACGCAAGCGAGAATAAAATGTATTCGCGGGCGGAGCTTACAAAGTAGCTGAAAGCCTTAAAAAATCGAATCGCGTAAGACGTTCGACGAACGGTAGGAACATGCACGCGGCCTGATAGGATTTTCGAAAGGGCGTCGCGATCACGCGGCCCGAGAATTTTCCCGGGCGAATCCAATTTCGCGGAATCATATTTTCACGGTTGCGTCGGCCGGTGCTTCTTTGAAACTGAACAGGTTTCTGGATGAGGGACGCGGCCGATCCTCGAATTACGCGTCACGGTATCGCCTCGATATTGGACGTAGCCGTTTCTTAACCCATTAAACATTATTATTATTATTGGACACACGGTGTGAAACCGGTCTTATAGCCTTCGAAATCAATTGCAAAATGATTTATTCATTCAATATTCAATTTTGTGTTAGGTATCAACACGTGAACTTTAGAAATTAATTACCTCCAATCCTTAAGTTCAATTATTTAATTAAATACATTAGAATGAAGAAGATTAAAATTCAATATTCAATTTTGTGTTAGGTATCAACGTGTTAACATTTTCCAAAAAATCTCCTAACAAAGGAAACGATGCAAAACCTTTGCACTCGAGGCGACTCTCATTCATTTGATTAAATTCATTAGAATGATGAACATTAGAATTTAATATTCAATTTTGTGTTAGGCATCAAAACGTGAACCTTCAAAATAAATTACCTGCAACCCTTAAGTTATGTAAGATTTTCCTTTGTACTCGAGAAGCGACTTTTAATCATTTAATTAAATACATTAGAACGATGAAGATTAGAATTCAATATTCAATTTTGTGTTAGGTATCAACACGTGAACCTCAGAAACACAGAAATAGAAGTGTACAAAGAGTCATTAGACATTAGAATTTAATATTCAATTTTGTGTTAGGTATCAACACGTAAACCTCAGAAACACAGAAATAGAAATATAAAAAGTCATTAGACATTAAAATTATAAAGATTAAAATTCAATATTCAATTTTGTGTTAGGTATCAACACGTAAACCTCAGAAACACAGAAATAGAAATATAAAAAGTCATTAGACATTAAAATTATAAAGATTAAAATTCAATATTCAATTTTGTGTTAGGTATCAACACGTGAACCTTCAAAATAAATTACCTCCAACCCTTAAGTTATGTAAGATTTTCCTTTACGTTGGTAGCAGTGTTACCAATATTCCCCCGGAAAATAATGAATATTTCTAATGGAGAATATCGTCGAGCGGAAAGGGTTAAACAAAGAAAATATTCGACAAATCCCGTCGCGGACGTTGGAACGAACGTCCCTGTCCGGCTGAGAGGTCAGATCTGTTGCACCGATCGACCTGTTCGACCTTAATTTTCGCGGAAAGCGGGCCGCATCGAAAATAGAAGCTATCCGCTCGATTCCGCACCCCCGATAAGCCCCGGAACGAGCAGAAATTTTTCGGTTCGCTGGGAACTACCCGCGCAACCCTTCTTTCTCGCGCCACGGCCGCCTCGTGACGCTTCCTTCTTGTTGCTTCGATCCGCGGAAGGGAGAGGGTGTACGAAATCAACGATACTTCTAGCTCTTTGCCGGCGAAGATTTTTTGAAACATTGAATGCCTTGTATAGAAGACGGTGAATTGCACGTTGATCTTTTAAATATTATAGTAGAGGGAATTTATAGGGTAACGTTTTATTCATTATTATGCTTAGTAATGAAACAGAAGTGAAATTTATAATTTGATAGTTTTATGGTTTCAGAATTTCGTACTTTTAGAATTTTGTAACTTTATCGTTTTGTAACTTCAGTTTCGTAACGTTGTAACTTTATAATTTCATAATTTTATAGTTCCATAGTTTCATAATTTCATAATTTCATAGTTTCATAATTTCATCATTTCACAATTTCATAATTTTCATAGTTTCACAATTTAATAGTTTCATAATTTCATAATATCATAATTTCATAATTTCATAATTCTATAGTTTCTTAGTTTTACAATTTCATAATTTCATAATTTCATAGTTTCGTAATCTCATAATTTCATAATTTCATAGTTTCTGAGTTTTGCAATTTCATAACTTCACAACTTCATAATTTCATAATTTCATAACTTCATAATTTCATAACTTCATACTTTCACAATTTCCCAGTTTCATAATTTCCTAACTTTACAACTTTATACCCTAACAATCTTACAATTTTTCTGCGTTCAATCGAACGGCGAGCCGCCTTCCCAACGCGAAGGGTTAACATCTCCTTCGACCCTCGCCGGTTTCCCACGGCGAAACGTTCCTCCGGCGAATCCTCGGTGGATCGAAGCTCTCCCCCGCGTTCCCGAGCGATTTTCCACACGGAAAACTGGCTCCTCGCGGCTCGGTTTCGGAGGAAGCTGCGGAGGAATGTAGGCTAATCGCGGATTTGCGGCGCCGCTTTCCTCCCCTCGTCAGTCCTCGCTCTCTTTCCGCGTTTCCGCGACTTTTCCTTTCAACTCTGGACCCTCTAGAAACATCCGCGTGCTTCGCTTTTTTCTCCGCACGCTCGCACTTTTATCCTTATTTGACGCGTAGCGTGAAATCTGTCTCTCGAACGCGTTATCGCTCAAAGAAGAACGTTCCACGGATAAACACGAAGGGATATTAGTTTCCTTGGTCGCTCCTTTTCGTTCCGCGATAGTTACAACGCTGTAATTACAGTTAATTCAATGTTTCTTTATCTCACTTAACACATATACCAATATTGCACCAGTTATAACATCAAATATTTTAACGAATCAACTACCCTAAAATTATTAGACTTTGCACACGTCCAAAATTTCTACTCTGAAGGAAAACAAAATCGAATGTTATAGCATTTTCCGTTTCCACTGGAGATACCATAAAAATGATCAGTTGTTGATAAATTACAGACCTATTTGGAGTGCTAAGGGTTAACCCTTTGAACTCTGTGGGCTCCAATACTGCAGTTACAGTATCAAATATTCTAACGAACCAACTACCCTAAAATTATTCGATCTTCCACACATCGAAATTTCTTACTGGGAAAAAAGACGAAAAATCTAGGGAATATTATAGCATTTTCCATTTTCACTGAAGGTACACATAAAAATGATCAGTTGCTGATAAATTACAAGACCATCTGGAGTGCTAATGGTTAACGCGTTGAACGTTTCTCCCAAAGAAATTCGTTCCCGATCGACGTTCCTTCGCAGATCCGTCGAGGAGGAGCGTCGAAAGGAGGGATCCGAAGGCTCGCGAGGCCAGGAAAGGGTTGGCCGATCGTATTTTCGCGTTAGCAGCGCGGCAGAACCTTGAAACATCGATCTGCCCGTCGAAGCCGACTTAATCGAGGGTCCGGCGCAAAGCCGTCGCCGGTTATAAACCGCGGACGAAGCCGGACGCTTGGAACTGCAGTTCTCTATCGAGTTATCGGCCAGCGGGGGCGGCGGTTTCGAAGTTTCGCCTGGTAGCGGTTCCACGCGAGACCTCCAATTTCGTTCCGCCCCGTCGCGTCGACGAGCACTCTCGTCCACCGCGTCGCCTCGCGTCGCCTCGCGTCGCGCAGTTTCGAATTTTAGGGAAAACCGTGGATCCCCGTCGCCGTGGAAACGGAATACATCGAACTCGAGCTTTCTCTTGTTCCAACGATGCTTCAATCTCGTGCGAATCTGTCCTTTTCTTGTTTTCAAGTCGAGAGGGTTTCAGATATTGGTATGAGTATTAGATTTAGATGTTGGTATGAATGTTATATTGTTGTTAGTTTATAGTATTATAATATTGACGTTATGATATTAAAATATTACTGTTATCGTACGTTGATATTAAATAATGTTAGGATATGATCTGATGGGATATAAACCTAGAGAGAATACAAAGACTTTAGATATCGTTATGAATGTTATATTGTTACTAGTTTATAATATTACAATATCGACGTTGAATGATATTAAAATATTGCTGTTACGGTACTTTGATATTAAATAATCTTATAATACGATCTGATGGGATGTGAACATAGAGTGAATACAAAGGCTTTAGAGATTGATGTGAATATTATATTACTATTAGCTTATAATACGATAATATTCACGTTGAATGATATTAAAACATTTCTGTTATCGTACGACAATATTAAATAATGTTACAATATCGCGTCAGAGTCGCAGAGAGATCACAAGCGAAAGTCGAAAGACACCTCGATTCTCTTAAATCCCTTGCTCAATGATTCACGTCTGAACCACAAACAATACTACTTGAATAACTTACTCAGAATTTCATTCAAACTCAAAATCAACTAATCTCTATCCATATTAAACTCCCTATAAAATCTTCTTAATTCTAACGAGTTCAAGGGGTTCAATTCACCTGAAATCCCCTACTCAATGATTCTCTTCTAAACCATAAAGGATACTACTTGAATAACTTACTCAGAATTTCATTCAAACTCAAAATCAACTAACCTTCATCCATATTAAACTCCCTATAAAATCTCAATTCTAACGAGTTCAAGGGGAATTCACCTGAAATCCTCTATCACCATCACATTCTATCTCCAATCACCAATTCACTAACCGACGAAAACCGATCTGTTCCAGGGGCTTCGGCAAGCAGGGTTACCAATGCCAAGGTAAGAGGTCTATCGAGCTCACAACGAAGAGCGGACTCCGCAGGGTGATGCTTGTGTTTCAGTCTGCAGCTTCGTGGTTCACAAGCGATGCCACGAGTACGTGACGTTCACGTGCCCCGGCGCGGACAAGGGAGCTGACTCGGACGTAAGTGTCGACCGCGAGGCGCGCGCGCGATCCGCGAACCGATCACACATCCTCCTAATCGGACTCGTTTTTCGTTTCGGTTTATACTGTTCCTTTCCCGACGCAGTTTGACGCGCCTCAACCCCATACGCTGCCAGCCGAGGACCAATCGCACTCGAACGTTTCAGAACCAACAGAAACTCTTCGAGAAACTGGAGCAGAAACCACAGAAAACACGTTGAACGTTCGAAAATACGATTTTCCAACGACAGAATAGAGTGAGATGAAATTAATGAGAGAAGAGAGGACACTCGGCTGCAGCGGACGGGTTCAGGACAAGTCCGGGGCTGAGAGCTATATATTTTTCCACGTTTTTATCGCACCGCGCACGATTGGCCTAAGCGTTTTCTGCGCTTCGTTTTAACCACGCTTGTAACACGGAATAATTTCGCGGTGTACCGGGACGAACCGTCGACGGGAAGAACGCTCGCGATTGGATAGAGGGATGGACGGATAGACGGAGTATTTGTGGGTTTTGTGGGTGAGATGATTAGCGGAGAGTCTGGTCGCGAGCGTTCCTCCCGAGGCGACCGCGATGAGAAACCGATTTTTTCGTTCACCCCCGGGGATCCCGACTGAAACGATCGATGTCCTAGCGTCTGCCCCGGCCCCGATGCTGATTCCCCCGTGCTTCTGTGCTTCGAAGACGACTCTTTCTATCTATCGACCTGTGTACCGTGCGTCCCCGCTGCCTGAGATCGCTCGACGTTTTCGCCGATCGAGATGACCGGTTTATAGGGGAGCTTCGCGCGTGCGGTGTTGTGGCGTTAACCCCTTGCCGATCTTGGAGTTGTTGGTAGAAGTACTTGTTGATGATACTGTTCGAGGAAGGGTTCTGTATTTTTGTATGTTGATTTATTGTGAACGTAGGAATTGTTTCATTTGAACTCGGGAGAACCAAAGAAATATTCAGTTAAAAGGTTCCACGTTTCTATATCTAGATTCGCTTTAAATTATACGAATTATCGAGACAAATGTTTCATTTGAATTCGGGAGAACCAAAGAAATATTCAATTAAAAGGTTCCATGTTTCTATATCTAGATTCACTTTAAATCATAAAAATTATCGAGGCAAATGTTTCATTTGAACTCGGAAGAACCAAATATTCCATTAAAAGGTTCCATTTCTCTATATCTAGATTTACTCTAAACCATACGAATTATCAACGAGACAAATGTTTCAATTGCACTCGGAAGAACCAAAGAAATATTCAATTGAAACGTTCCATCTTTCTATATTTAGAATTATTACTTTCAACCATACGAATTGTCAACGAGACGAACGTTCCATTTGCACTTAGAAGGACCAAAGAAATATTCAATTAACCCTTTGCACTCAAGAGGCGCCTTACAGTCGCCACTTGATTCGACGTAGCAAACTTATAAAATTTTCAATTCAATATTACACCTTGTGTAATGTATAAACATCAGATATATCAGATAATCAATTGTGTTAGTTGCGAAAAATATCGTTAAGATTTCGTCGGAAAGCAACGAATATTTTCAATGAAAAATATTGTCGACTGCAAAGGGTTAAAAGGTTCCATCTTTCTATATCTAGACCTACTCAGAACCATACGAACCGTCAGCAATACAAACATTTCATTCGAACTCGAACCAAAGAAATATTCCAAGGCAAGGGGTTAATTCGTCGCGCAACGGTTTCCGAGCAGTTCCCGATATACCCGAATCGGTGAACAGTTTCTCGGAAAAGCGTCCGCTTTCCATCAGCTGTAACAAAAGAAATCGGATACGGGTTGCGTCGGTCAATCCGACGGTTCCGCCGTTAAAAGCGGCGTAACGAGGGGCGCGAACGTTTCGCAGAGAGGGCGTCGAATATCGTGCCGATATAGAAACGCGCGGTGTGCGTCGGTCGATCAATTTTCAGCGCGGAGTGTTTCCATTCGAACGAGATAACCGTCGTGGAGTCCAGAGCCGCGGAAACCGGCAGGGAAATCGGCGCGAAAATCGGCGCGGACGGGCGTCGATTGTATCGGCCGAGAGCGGAATTAGCTGTAACGAAGCGGTCGTCGCTAACGAGCTGTGCGGAGGGCAATAATCGAGTTCGCGCTTCTGGACTTTGACGGCCGATGAGACACCGGGTCGTGTCCCGCAGCCCGTAATGGGCTCCCGTTGCGTGTCGCGCGGGGATCGCCTCGCGTGAGTCGATGACGTCGCCGATTCCTCTCGTCGCTATTAATTCCAGCGATTTCTTCCGGGCGGCACGCGTCGCGTCGCGGCGAGCTGTGTTAACGCTAACCGTACCGGGAACCGATCAAACGAAATTAACCCTTTGAGGAAAATCCTTCGAGACATAGGAAACTTTCAATGTGTGAAGATGAATTATGTGTCAATTGCTTAATTAATGGAAAGGGAAAACTACGCGTTGCAAAGGAAATTAACCCTTTGCGGACGAAGATTGTTTAACCCTTTGCGGAGGAAAATTCTTCGAAACATAGAAAAGCTTCAACGTATGAAGATGAATTATATATCAATTGCTTAATTAATAGAAAGGGAAAACTACGTGCTGAAAATGAAATTAATCCTTTGCGAACGAAGATTGTTTAACCCTTTGCGGATGAAAATTCTTCGAAACATACAAAAGCTTCAACGTATGAAGCTGAATTATATATCAATTGCTTAATTAATAGGAAGAAGAACTACGTACTGATATCTTACTGTTCGATTAATTAGATCATTTTTCCACGACTTAGTCTTCTGAATCTGAACGTTTTATCTCGCCGAAATGTCGACGTTCGTCCGCAAAGGGTTAAAGTAGACAAAGCTTGCAACGTATGAAGCTGAATTGCATATTGAATGCTTAGACAGAAGAAAAAGAAAGTATACATTGATCACTTGGTATTCGAGTATTTATAATCGTTTGCTACTTGGAATTCCAAATGTGAACATATCTCGAAATGTCAACATTCGCAAAGGATTAATGCTTTGCTATCACTGTACTCATATTACACTATTGTCTAGCTGGAACATCAATTTCCTTATTATCGTTTTCAAGCAATTTGGAAGCTCCGATCATCGGTGACCACCGTTGCACTCAACGCGTTAACCCCTTGACATACGATTTAACCGAGAAAAATTCGAGCCGTAACAATGGCGACCGATACATCACTCGTGACATTTACCTTTCGTCGAGAATTTTGATCAAACTGTCAAACTCGTTAAAGTACAAGGGTTAACCGTGGGAGCCAATGAGATTCCAAATTCTGCGTTTTCTTTTGTTCACTGAAATCATATATCAATTCCTATATCGTCATTAATTGGATCGCCATTAACGTTCATCCTTCCCTTCGTTTCTGTTCGCACTAAAAAAAATCTATCATCAAAAACTCGATCATCTAATTTCTTCATCTCTATTTCGCAGCAATTTATAGCATAAAAATTGCCGGTACGGTTAGCGTTAACGATCGTCGATCTCCCGTCTTTATTTACCGCTCGCGTCGGTTCCGTCGGCAACGTCGCAGATCCTTCTCCGCGTCGATCTCGTCGGCACTACAGGTTCCTTCCGATCGGTGAACGGCGTCGTCGACGCTGCGATAACACGGTTAATCGGTTTTTAATCGTCAACGATGCCATCGATCGGCGAAATCGCTCGAGCACGATCGACAGTCCCGTCCGAGGATCCCTACGA